AACCAGCGTGTGCTTGGGTGTGGGCCATGGGGACTGCCAAATGGTCCATGGCAGCACCACAGAGGGTCAGAAAGAGCCAGCAAGACAGGGCCTGGGCTTGGTTCCTCCAACTGACTCTGGAAAGGCCACCCACCCTCTCTGGGCTTGTTTCCTCCACTTGGAGAGTGTATAATGTTAGACTAAGTGGCTTCCCAGGGTCAATGAGTCTACCCTCTTCCAAGTTAGCAAGCCAGTTCTGCCCCTCCAGACAGCAAATTCCATTAACATATTGCATGTTGCATGCAGTTAGGAGGGTTCAGATAAGACACTGGAATATAATTCTTAGGTAAGGGGCAGCCCCACGCGCCGTGTTAGTTGGTTGAGCTGCGTCCTGCCTCCTGAAATCAGATCTATAGACAGGCTCCCTGCAGGTGAGAAGTGGCAAGGACCTCCCTCCAGGTCCAGTGGGGACACAGACCATGCCCTCAGCCAGGGCCTCCTCAGCTCTCCCCGTTTCTACACCCGTCCTCCTTTCCTCTTTCCAGCTGCAGCTCCAACCTGACTTACCCCGTGAAACCTTCCCCAGTTAGTCAGGTGTGCTCTGTTTGCATCACTCCACACCATTTGCCCTGCTGTTCAGCGTTTAGGGGTCTTTGGTCTCGACTCGCTTGTTGCCGGTTCCTGTGTGTTTTTCTTGTCTTATGAGTTCCTTCAGGGAAGGAGACGTGTCCTACACTCTGTATTCTCTAGATCTGGTGAATGGAAGGATGGTCGATACATTTGGTTGATTGACATAAAGTAGGGGATTGGAGACAGCAAGCCAGCATGTGATTAAAAGGGAATTGTACTTGAACCATTGTAGTTGTTCAGTCTGAGCCTTCATCCAAGTGTGTTCTGATCAAAGCCTGTTGTAATATAAATTTCTCAATAAAGTCAAGATGACATGTAAAGACCATAGGGCAAAGTTTGGTTTCCCAAGCATTTTTCCTCATATGTAGGGCTATTCTCACACCAACCTGGGACGAGTTTTACAGCCAAGGGAACTGACGCTCAAGCAGGTGAGGTGGGAACTTGGCTTTCTAGCCTGGGTCTTTTTCAATAGTCTATAGATTCTCCTTTCAAAAAATAAGGTCAAATTTTGATAAATGGAATGAACTTGGGAGCTGAAAAATTTAGGCCTAAAACGCTGAAATATGGATTTTAGAGCCTGTGAACTTTCTAGGGAATGTGTGTGTGTATACCTGTGCATGTGTGTGTGCATGAATGTGCACACATGTGCATGTGAGTGCACATACATGTATGTGTGTGTGTGTGTGCGTGTGCACGTGTATGTGCATGTGAGCGTGTGTGTGCATGTGGAACTAGGCAGTAACCTTGCTACTCACATAGACCTCCCTGAGGCACAAGTAACCTTGATCTTCCAGAAAGCCAGTAAAGCACACGCAGGTCCCATCCATGGTGGACTGCACGGGGCAGAGGGTCCCAGGGACAAAGCAATCAGTCCAGAAAAAGCGGTGAAAGGAAAGGAGTTTTGGGCAGGTGGGAAGTGCACATACGTTTGTATTTTATCCTCCCTTTGGCTCTATGGCCTCTGGGTGGATTGGAGTTCCCGGTGGGAAGTGGGGCTATGGAGCTGGCGGGACGTGGATGTCTGCATCCAATCCAATTACTCCCCTGCTACATGTCTGGGGAGGGATGGACTTCCCGGCCTGTGTGGGAGCATGTTGGGTCTGGGTCTAGTCCCTCCCACGCCGGGCCCTGCAGGTAGGTGCCCACTTCAGAACCCTGGGGTGACTCTGGAGGTCGGCCCGACCCACTGTGGGGTCGTCAGATGGGTTGGCTATCAGACCAGCATCGCTATGTTCGCCTAAGAGCTTCCAGCTACCAGGAAGAGAGTTCTTGCTTCCGCCTAAGCGTCAAAGCAATAGACGAGTTTTCAATTATTCCCCACTGCTTTTAAAATGAGAAAGTCTTACCAACTTCAGTACTTCTTTCCCTAAAGAATATTTCTTCTATAACTTCCAGTTTCTAATGAACCTAATGGAAATGCCAAGCCAAAGAGATCAAAGTCATGGTGAAGGGAGAGGTGGCAATTGAGCCAACGTCCCCTGTTGCTGTGGGCAGCGGCTCAGCCCACCTGTAGGTTGTAATGACCCTCCTGGCTGCACCTCGAGGGTGGCGTCCCCTGAGCACGGAGGTGACCCGGCTCTGGACATATAGAGATTGGCCCAAATACATACATAGGTTTCCTTTAAGGAAGGTACCTTTAATTTTACATTTGAAGAGGAAACTATCTGGAAAGAAAGAAACTCAGGTGCCTTCACTAGCAAGCTGCTTCTCTCCTACAGTGTGCTTCCATGATCACAAATAGCCAAGGGGCCGGTGACGGCCTGCTAAATGCTGGTTTTCCAGGACAGAGAACTCATCTGCAGAGGATCAGATTAATGGATGCTGTAAGTTCATTGTCATCGAATTTCATGACTATTGTTACTCAGAGGGAACTTGAACAGGAGGTCACGCATTCCCAAGCACCGCCACTTTGGCTGGACACAACTGCAGGTGTATTGGGGACACATAAAGAAGTGGTAAAATGGCAAAGCCAAGATTAAGGGCAGATTTGGCGAATGGCCAATCATGTTGGGAGGCACCAACCCCTGTCCTCTGAGGTGAGGTCACAGCTCTGACAACCTTGACAGTAGACTGGTCCCTGAGTAGCCAAGACTGCCTGGAGAATTTTATGTAATCAGCAAAAGAGATTTCTCTTTCTTCATCCCGGTAAAATACAATTGGCAATATTTCAGTCTGGCCAAATCATCCCGTCATGTTCTGCTTTCTACTTATCTCTCTGGTTGCTTATGGGGACCACTTTTATCCACTGGATTTTCGCGAAGACAATGGGTCCCTAGGACTCATTTCCTGAACCTTGGTGTAGAGTGCTATCATGCTTTTTGAGGTACCCGAAATATTAAAACTGTTAAAAATAGAGCTGGCCGAGTGGCACATTGGTTAAGAGCTGGCTTGGGACACCAGCTCTGAGCAGCAGGGCCCCAGTTTGAATCCCACACGCGGGCCAGTGACACTGCGCCCTCTACAGCTAAGATGGTGAACAACAGCTTGACCTGCAGCTGGGCTGCCATGAGTCTCCGGCTATGGCGTAGGCTGCAGCCTCTGCTGCAGTGGGCTGCCATAAGCTACCATGTGTGGCCGGCAGCCAGCGTGAGCGGCTGGCAGCTGGTGTGAGCTGCCAAGGCCGCCGTGAGCGGCCGTCCAGAGGTCGGTGACCGATCTGCCTCACCTGGGGAAAGTGCAATGATAATACCAACATGGGCCAGAGAAGTAACGTCCTCCACAACTAGACTGAAGAACAAAAGGACAGCAACTTGTCTGTTCCCCTTCCCCAATTCCCCAGTGCTGTTCCTCTCCCCCAATTCCCCAATAAAATCTTTAAAAAACCCCAAAAACCTGCTAAAAATAAACTCAATATTGTCAATGGAAGCATAGCCCACAATGATTGGATTCTTGACGCACTGTGTCAGGTATGCATGATTTTATTTAAAATGTGTCCAGTAAGATTTTCCACTTGGATGTACATTTTTCCTCTTCCCGCATATTATTATAAACAGTATTTCCTCATTTCATGGAGTTTCTTAGAAAGTTCTAAGTAACTTAACAGAAGAGAGAAATGAAACTGTGGGGAGATTAAAGAACAGGGGCTTTAGATCACAGCGAGGGAGCTCACGCATCCCGGCCTCGGGGGATACACAAGCGACTACAGGGTGAAGAATTAAACCCGGTCATGCAAATCATCGTAGGATCACTTGGTCTCCTTTGGCAGTTCTGGCATTCCCTGTCACTAGCACACATGAGAAAATGCGTCAGATGACTTCAGTGAATGGGAAATCGTCCCTTGCGTTTGGTGGTGGGCTGACCAGCCGGGAGAAGACAGGAACAGAAACACGCGGTCGGAGGAGCCTCTCAGGACGTGGAAAGAGACTGTCCGCATCTGACCAGCTGTTGCTCTGAGCCCCAGGGAGCGCGCACACACCTGGCGTCGGCGGTGGCGTGCGCCCCCTGTGGCCACAGCACCGGCCTCTCCTGCAGGGGCGCGCGCGGCCCACCGTGGACAGACGCACACCAGCCACCCCGCCGGCAACCAGAGCACATTTGAACCAAGAGGGCAGTTGTTGTTTCAAATCACTAGAGCCTGGCAATGTTAGATTTTTGTTTTCGTGAACCGAAGGTCACCTAGCACAAATGAGGTCTACACGTTGTCACATGGGGCCACAGGAAGGCACGTCGTCGCGTGACGCTGCCCTGCCAGGGAGAGAAACAGAGACACAGAGCACAGCACACATCTAGCGGCGACAGGGCGCCTGCGGGAGGTGCACGGCGCCACCGACACGGAAACGGGGCCGGCGGGCCGCGGGCCTCGGGTTTCCTGCCTGCTCTTTGGAGCTGCCACCGTCATGGAAAGAAGCTAAGGGCGACGTGACCGGGGCGGAGGGGCAGGTGGGCTGGGAGGTGCCACCGTCTCAACATCTGTTCTAAAGTGACCGAGAGATGATCATTCATTTATGATCGAAACTTAATCCCGAACAGCGTTTGCTCCCTCTCTCTCTCTCTCTCTCTCTCTGTAAACACATCTGCTCATTAATAACTTAAGCGTCTCGGCGGCGTTCAGGATTCAGTTCCGGCTGGAGTAGAAAAGGATGGAGGATGCTCAGCGTCGAGGAGGACATGGCGGGCGTCTGTGTGGAGAGGCGGCGGAGCGTCTGCTGCGCGGGGCGGGCCTCAGCCGTCAGACACCGGCGGGGTGACCCAGCCGTACTTCTCATGCGTCTTCACCAGGCTCTTAAAGGTGGCTTCGGCTTCTTTGCGACTGAAGGACTTTTTTGATTTTCCGGCTTTTCTGCAGATCCGCCCCTGCGTGGGAAGCAAAGAGAAAGCAGGTCAGCGCCCCAGGAGGAGCCGCGTTTCCCACCGTCTTTGTTACAACACGCGAGTCGCGGGCATTTCTGCTGCGTGGATCGGCGGGGCGCACGGAGAGGCACGGGGACAGCACAGCTTTGCCACAGGACGGACGGGGGAGGCCAGGGCCGGCAAGGCGAGGGCAGGGGGGCCCGCGGGCCGCTGGCTTCTCAAGCCCACGCTTCCTGTGAACGCGGTGCTGAAAAGCAACCCCTGCTGGTTCCCGAGAGCGAGGGCCAGCCTCATGGAAAGCGCACCCCAGCTGTGGTCCCCAAGGCAATATTGTTCTCACTTCCTTCCCTCCCACCAAAGAGTGCCTTTAATTATAACTTTTAGTTCCTCTTCGATAGCAGGAGAGATCCATGTTTATATATAGATGAGTATATTTATAGTCACACACACATTTTAAAAATCTGACTTTTAGAATCCAAGCTCAGGAGCAATTAGTGAATTTCTTGTGAGTCGTGTCACCGGGGAGCCACTTCTTGAGCAGAAGGCGGGGCCCCTGTCATGGAGCGGGAAGGCTGTCCTGGGGCCTGAGTGAGGGGTCATGGGGCGGGGCCAGTACTTCCTCCACAATCCGAGCAGGAGCAGGCGTGGGGGCCCCGGGGGAGCTCCACAGCCCCTCACGCCTCCACCCCAGTGACCGCTGTATTCTGGTCGGAAGATAGGGCATTTGGGTCTGCAGTGGACGAGAGGGTCTGATTCGTGTTAGGATGGGCACAGAATGTTCTAGGCCACGAGACAGGGACCCAGAAGACACTGCTAACATGACCGTGTCTCAGGCCATCGCCACCCTTCCAGAGAGCCCTAGGGAGTCAGCGCTGACCCGCAATCACACAGAGCTGGTGTCACTCCCAGTATTCCAGCCTCACTCTTCACGCCGCCTCTCCACGGCACGTTGACGGAAACTCGCTCTTAGCTCCCGGGGCACATTTCCTTGCACTTGACTTCACATAGTCTCCTGGAAGACCTGCTGGTCTTCCTGAGTGTCTCACACATGCATTTTGCTGCCGGGGTGGAAACACCCCCAAAAGGCTTGGCTGTTTCCTCCACTAACAAGCGCATGTGTACTGTTCCCAAGGCTTGCCTGCTGTCTATGAACTTTCACTATGCATTGTCTCTGAACGTGCCCCCTGCATTCCTGATACGTACTGTTTTTGTTACAGCATACCTGTGCGCATGTGTTGTCTGTGTCATAAAGTGACTGGAATCAGAGCCAGGACTCCCTGGGTTACGTCGCATACCTGTTCCCTTGGACAGGCTGAGGGTAGCAGCCACCTAGGTCTGCGTGGCCGCTGGCAGGCAAGGTCCACACAATCTTAAGCTTTCTCTGATAACCCACTGGCAAGTCCAGTGGGAAGAGCTGGACTGACCTCATATTCCATAGGGAAAATGGTTCCCGATCACTAGAAACTGGGAATGGAAGAGTGTCTGACATACTTACATTCAGAGCTTACGGCTCCTTTTCACCACTGGACGCTAGCCCAACACCCGGGCAGCGGTGCAGTCATGCTCCGCCCTCTGGACATCCCTGGGCGGACCTGTCCATCTGCCAATCAAGGGCAGCCACTTGTTCTGATTTGCTGCTTGGTTCACAGCAAACGAGCTGCTAAAAGGGTGAAGACCGGAAGAGAAGACAGGAAATGGCCATCCACTGACTTCTAGAAACTTCCCACATCTCACCAGGATATGTCTCCTAGTTTTAGTTTTATAACTTCCTATGTTGCTTATGTGGTGTAGTTATACTTGATAAAAGGGGACCACCAAGAGCTAATCCATTTATAATCATCATCACCATGGGCTGAGATCCAAGTCCAAAGTCACTTCATTAAACATCTGCAAACGCATCTGTGTAGGAACATCAGCTTCACTGTTTACATAAGAGCAAATATCAATATCAATATATATATTTGCATAAATATATATATTTGCATAAAATGCAAATTCTAAACATCTCTATCATTCTTTTCTATAATACTGAAAATTCATGGTGATTTGAGAATTCTGAACTAAAGGCAGCTGGATGAATACGGGCTCATGATAATCTTGGCATATTCTGCTGCTTTTGGCACGAACACATACGTTGCCTATTCTTTGTGAAAGTCCCAATTGTTAGAAAAAACAACAGACAAAACCCCAAATGAACAGACCGCTCTTTGTCGCCTTTTCTTCCCAGGAAGAATTATGAACATAGAGCTCCAGTGCTGAGTCTGTTCAGCGACTGGGAGACAGAGCCCGTTGTCAGCCAGCCGGGGTCCCACTGCCTTCAGTGCATGCAGCTGTCCATCAAGAGCTGTGCTGTCCTCTCCTGTCCCCTGCACCCCAGTTTACAGTTCACAGATGCCTGCCCTCCTCGGATTTGCTGTTTAAATATCACCCAGTGAAACACTGAGCTTGAAGAAGATCCCTTACATTCCCTGGCTCTGCCAGGGTGGCTGAGCCATTTTTGCTGAGATCGCCTTGAGATGCGTCCACACAGCCCCTGATGGTCCACGGCCACACTGGTGTTGAACTCACTCCCAGTCTTCTTTCCAAGGTCCAGTCTCCTGGATTCTCAACTTTAAGGAACCTGTCAGCCTAACTCCTCTGACCCTCTGTACTTTCCTCTATAAGTGGGGACAATACCTGCTTCACAGCATCACTAGGAATGTCAGATAAGATACTGAATTTGCTTATTTTACAGACAAGAAAATTGAGATTCAGAGAGGTTAAGTAAGTCCCTCAAGGTCACACAGCCAGGAGGTGCTGGAGTAGTGATTTGAAGTCGGGTCTGCTGAATTCTGCAACTCCCACCCCAGTGTGCGCACATGCATGCATGCACACACACGCACACACACCCACACACACACATACACAGACACACACACAGGCACATATGCACAGATACACACACATGCACACACACACAGATACACACATGCAGACGCACACACACACGCACACACATGCACACCCCCACACACACATACACACACACACAGACACATATGCACAGATACACACACATGCACACACACACATGCAGACACACACACACATGTGCACACTCTGAAAAATGTCTTTATGCAAATCCAATATTTCACATTTATGTGGCTAATTTCTCAGTAATGTCTATTTTAACAAGTTGGCACAAATACATTCATTCTGTAGTTCTCCCTTGATTAGTTTTTCTTCTTACTTTTTTCTTTGGAAACATACTATTGTGGCATTCTGTGTTTCACTTGCCTATAATTATAGTTCTGCTCCTTTAAAAAGAGTTAGAATTTCCTGAGACTCATGTAAAGTTTTGAGCTTCCTTCGCTCATTTCCTGGGCTGGATCACAGAGCAGCTACTTGGGAAGTGTAATTGTTAGTCTAGCAGCACTCACAAAGCCCAGCGTCTGCAATGCGGGTTTCAAATGCGCGGTGCTCCTTTCAGGCAGGGGAGGCTTCCTGGAGGAGGTGTTCAGGAGATGGGCTCACAGGACAAGTGGCATAATCCAGCCAGAAGGCAGGAAGGGAGGCCGGGAGGAGCTCGGGAGGTACTTCTAGGAGGAGGGGAGGAGGCAGGGATGGGAGGTATTCTAGTTCCTGAGGCTGCCGGAACAGAGTGGGTGGCTTAAAACAGCAGAAAGTTATCTTCTCATGGCTCTGGAGGCCAGGAGTCCAGAACCAGGGTATAGGCAGGGCAGCTGCACGAGGCTGTAGGGGAGAATGTGCTCTATGCCGCCCCCTGGCTTCTGGTGGTTTGTTGGCAATTGTCAATGTCCCTAGGCTTGTAGACAAGTCACCTTGATCTCTGCCTTCACATGGCCTTCTCCCTGTGTGTCTCTCTGTGTCTGTGTCAAATTTCCCTTTCTTACCAGGACACCAGTCATTGCATTGGAGCCCATCCTAATCCAGGATGACCTCATCTGAACTTGACATCTGCAAAGACCCCAGATAAGGGCATATTCACAGGCTGGGGAGGGAGGGTTATGGCTTCAATATATCTTTTGGGGGGACATAATTCTCCACACTGCATGAGGTAAGGCTGACAGAGAGGTCTTCAACCCCCTCCTGCAGCCTCTGGACCTCTCCTGGGGGTGGCAGAGCATCGGGTCAGGTTGGCTTTTGGGGTGGGTCACTTGGGAGGCAGGTGGCTGTCAGGTTGGGGTGCTGGCCAGTTAGGTTATTGTCATGGTCCAGAGAAGGTGGGTGAAAGCCTGGCCTGGGGCAGAGCCAACGGGGGTGGAGGGAAAGGGGCTGGGGCCAGTGGAGGCGGTGCCAGCAGGGATGTCCTTAAGCGGGAGGTGCCCAGGGCATCCATTTCTGACAGCAGGGGACACAGGTTTCCCGGATAAGATACTGAGTCTCTTTGGGTGGGCTGGGCTCAGGGTGTATCGGGAATCTGGCACACAGCGGGGCCAGTGGCTGCTGGATGTGGTGCTTGGAGCTCTCACATCAGGGGTCCAAGTGCCGGATGTGGCTGAGGGCCCACAAGGAGAGGCATCAGAGAGCGGTGCTGGGCCTCTGCTCTGCCCACCAGCCACGGGCTCTTGAGCAAGTCACCCTCCCTGCGCCTGTGCCTCCACGTCGGAGTCACACACCCACTCACACCTGCAGCGTAGGGTGAGCCTTTGGGGACGGGTAAATCATTGGCCCGCTGTGCATGGTGGCAAGACATGCAACAGCAAGTGGGCACGGGAGACGTGTGGGCAGCACTGTCTTAGGAGATGCCTCAGGAGGGTAGTGGGGGGGCCCGTGGGGGGCCGGGCAAGAGGAGAAGCAGGATGCACAGGGGCTGGGCCAGGCAAGGGGTGGGGTTGCATCAGGGCAGGCACGGCTGGGGGTCCCACTGCAGGGTGACCAGTGAATGCCTGAGAAGTACTGGCCTTAAGAGGGAACAGTCTTCTCAGAAGTGTGAGGCTTGCTTGATTTATATAAAGTCAGAACTTTAAAAACTCTTCTTGACTTGTTTTTCCAGCCATCTC